ATGAATTGAAAACTGTCCAAACTTGACCCAGTGTAGGTGATGTTGCTCCACAGGCAGTCAGTGCGCGAATGACTCAATGTTGACAAGGTGTGATATTAAGATTAACTGTCACTGACGGTCATCAGATATGGTTCACCGCTATTAATCATTAAACAGTGGTGTAGTTGCTGCAGTAATTTTGTCATTCAAGGCACGGTTATTATTGTTAAATGAACTCGTGGTTATAAATTATGCATTGGAAAATGATTGGGTTTTTTTTTGGTGAGGTCTTACTGTGAAGACGTCAATGAGTGCGACAATGAACGCATCAACTGTGCACTTTTCACGCATAAACTACCCGAACTGAATCCTGAACTATTTTCACGAAGCTACCCTTGAAGACTGATAAAAAACTCTTTGAGTCATTAATCACTGAAAAAACAGATTACCAATCTATTTTTCCATTTCCTGGGTAACAAAGAAGTAAGCTATCATTCAAAATTCATAACCTTTGTTCCGCACATTGAAGCTCAGTTTACTCGCAYGTTCTGAAATGACGCAGTTTGTTTGACARATCTCCATATTCAAAGCTGCACATCTTTGCAAAGAACAAAGGTTTTTGATGTTTGAATCTGTTCTGTTTACCCACGAAGAAACAAAGTTTACCTGAGTTAAATGATCAGTTGATGACTTGATTACCACAGGGTACAAAGTGACAATTTTGTGGTCGAAATGTTTCTTAACTTTTTTGTGCGGTTGCGGTAAATGATCACAAGAATTTTTTTTATACAAAAACAAATCGCTTTTCAACACAAAACTTTCAAGAAAATAAAACTCACTTARAACTGCTGTATAAAACAAATGAAAAATTGAACGTAATAAAAGAGTAGCACTGCCGAACCTGCAAAAATGAAAAGTGTTTAGGTGGAAGGAAAGTCAGTAATACAAGTCAATTGTTCAGGCTGTCGATGTTATGTCTATGTTACAGAGATATGCTTGAGCGACCTCATCAGTTCTAGGTAGTTCGTTCATCTTGGGAAATTTYCTCCCCAAAAAGAATCATTCACTCTCAATCATACAGCCATTCCTTTMTTTTATCAAACGACCATTCAAAATAAATTTGATAAATTGAAGAAATACTCATTTCTTATCTATCACTATCRCTAAGTGCACGTTTCTAAAACAGCTGGAAAACATATCGAAACTAGAATGAAACTACAAAGAAAGGCAAAGAACTTCACTAATTGCTGCAAAATACACAAAAAAGTCAATTTCTTCTATTGAAAACTATAGATCTTCTAGCAACCTTTTATTTTATAGTTTATAATTATTGAATTGTGTCTGGTTTTTAGGCTTTAATTTTGCTGTTTTCTAATCCAAATATGTTCACTCAAATTATGAAATAATCAAAGCAGACAGAGTGATTTGAAATCTTTCGCCGACCTTTGCCGCAAGAAGCTAATAAACAGATTTGCTACACCCATTTAACCAAAAGACTAATAAATCCTTTCATTCATATCAATAAATAAATAATGAACTTAATATTTTACTAAACCACTAACTAATAATCAAGGCCTACCACAATTTCAGTAAACGMGCAATGTTTATTATAATTGAACAAAAGAGAAAGCTTTTTTTGATATGTTTCCTTTAGAAGTRCGCCACAASCTTTTCCGAATGCCATCACTACATTTACTGGTGCCTTCCAGGCTAGGCTACTACACCCGACTACGATTTTATCTTGAATTACATGAATGAAAGCTTATAAACCGTTTCCTTCTTTTACGGAAAGTCAGCTAGTACAGGAACAAAAAGCAATATGGAGTTACACTTAGTCAGGAGTTTGTGACATATGGAGGATTGACATATGGTCACACAACAAGATGGTCAAAAATGGGCCATTTTTAGCGTTTTTGGTTATGGAGGATTGACATATGGTCACACAACAAGATGGTACGAGATAAGTCTAACGAGGTCTAGAAGCTCGAGGGATCGATATGTCTACACTGTATGTTGACTAGATCAAGCTAGATCAGTTATCTCTTTATTCCTATAGGTACTTATACACGAAACGAGTATCGGTATAATRTTACAAGCCACACCTTTTTCTTTGAGACCCCGGAAAGCGTTCATTTCCGAAAAAAACTTTCCCACAGTAGATTAAACAGAACAATGAAATAACTTGATACTTTAATTGTGTGAAGTTTTGTATTTTTATAGTACAACCTTCCTATAATATGATGAGCGACTGATATCCGGCTAAAAACTCAGTCCTATTTATTGAAACATTTGGTTCTTTTTAACCTAACCCGACCACAATGTGGTCATGTTTTGTATTTAAGATAAGAAGATAAGATAGAGCAAYAATTGATGGTTATAGTGGAAATACATCAGATTTCATGGAAGTGACTATAGCATATGGTAAACAAAAAACGCATAGAAGTCAYGCTGAAATGACKGTATGGTTTAGAGAGTTCCTCGTGGGTGATCCATGCAACAGTTGGTTACTGGTAACTCATCGCGAACCCAACCCTCTGAGAATGCTATAAATAGTACTTAGTGTGATGATCAAGATATAAGCCATGTATTCCTTTCCTTTATAGAAACATCTAATTTAATTTATGCAGTAGTCATTGAAATCCCCGACCCCCGGGGCTAGCGGGGMACTGAACGGGGACGTGACGCGTTTTTAACGTGCTTTTAACAGCAAGATTGCCCCGGGGGTCGGGATTTTGATGAATTATTTTCGAAGCGSGGCAAAGAGCGGGGATTTTAACGCGCGTTTGAACATGTATGAGGCTGGCAACTTCCCTTGCATGAAAAGTTTTTTAAAGAAACTTATTACAAATGTTTTTCTCTGTCCAGTTAGCCTCATGTAGTACGCAAATGAGTACACAGGACTGTGCAAGAATTAACCCTGTGTATYACAGAACATTTGATTGAAAGGTCTTTGTTTTGTTATTTTATACTACCAAAATAACGGCGCAACAGTAGCGGGGATTTTAACAATGAATGTGCCCCCGACTACCGGGAGAAATGTCTTATTTTAACACCACTCAAACGTTAAATTCSCCGGTATTCCCCGGGGGTCGGGTGTCGGGGGTTTCAATTGACTAGTGCATTATTCTGAAAGTCATCGTCGGAGTTATCAACATCATAGAACATAGAATCTGGGACCGAAAGGGTACATGGGAAGGGAAATATTGCCTCGTCTTCTAAACAAAATTTTAGCAAATTAACAATTCATAACATATATAATTTTCAATTACCGTACTTCTCCTGTAAAAAGCTACAAAGGAAGTTAATTCATCTACAATGAGCTATTTGCACTAAAAGGTCACGTTRCGTCATTGTACTAGCTTCAAAGGCTAAGGGGCTGACCATTTGACCTTTGAGGGTGGGAGGGGGTGGTGGGTGGATGATTTGGTCTGTGCAAGACCAAATAAGCAGGCACTTAAAATTTGCACTACAGGAATTGTCTCGACCCTTCGGGTCATAGAGGAAATTTATCTTTGAAAATCACTTCAAAAACTCATTAATTATTCATGAGGTATTCAGCCAATCCCTGTTTGTAATTTGTACCACGTGAAGTAACTTGAAACCAGAGGAAGTACTCGTGTACCTTGTATTCTACCTTATTTCCAGTTACTTTTACCTTTTTCAAGTTACTTCTACATTATTTCCAGTTACTTCTACCTTATTTCCAGTTACTTCTACCATGTTTCCAACTACTACTAGCTAATGATAATCAAATTATTGGAAATAATCAGTTTAACATTAATTTAGTAAAAAAAGGTCTTTGATACATGACTCCCTCACGACTCGATCCCCTACCGTACAGTCTATATGCGCCGTCTTATACCATTACACCACCGAGTTTCTGATGCGATTCCTCGGAAGATAGCATACTTATAAATCTTATGGATTAGGCTCATTAGGAATGCCATGAATAGCAGACAAAGACAATTTGAATAGCTTTTGTTTCAGAAAGCCGTCCGGGAATTGAAGAACAACAAACGGTGCTTCATGTATTCAAAATTATGAAAACTGAAAACCTTAGTGGAGATGCAATAAATCAATATATTTCTGTTATATGTATTTCCTTCGCTTTTTCCCCTCCCGAATAATTAATGAGTTTTTGAAGTCGTTCAAAGGCCTCCAATTCGGACTTGACGGGATTTCAAAGTCCTTGCAATTAGTTCCAGTCCTCGGCTARCGCCTCGGACTGGAACTAATTGCRMGGACTTTGAAACCHYGTCAAGTCCTCATTGTCGGCCTTTAAACATTACATAATGGTCAGCATCTAAGCATTACTTGATGCATGATACACATTATTCCAGAGAAAAGACATCATGTTAAATTTGATTGTTTTACTCTGTTTTACCTAACCGACACTAGCAATCTTAAATATATCTTCCCAAACCGAAGAAAATTGTCTCTAGTCGTCTATTCTACAATATTTCCCACTATAAAAAATTACCGAAATTAGCCTTTAATCTAGTTTTACTTTCAAGTTATGTCAATCTAATTCTCGAAATAATAAAAAATCCGTGTGAAATACTCTCCACGAATTATCATGGGATATCTATCACAAACCGAAAGAACATATTCCTCGACTTTATCTTTTTTTGAGTGTATCCTCATGGTTTATAATCGGCTTTTCATTCAACCCAACTGTTTCACTGACCGATTCATCTGAAGGCGGATGGAAAACAGAGGTGGCTGCCACATCCTCATGTCGTAATTGTAACTTTTCGTTTAATTGTCGACTTCGTATCGCCGGTAGTCCAGGTATCTCTTCATTCATCTCATCAATAGTCACGTTTTCCGTTTTCACAATCTTGTATCGAAAGCTCCGCAAATGACCAAATCACTGGAAGGCGAGTCGACAGTATAGGTTGTTGAGTCAATCGTTGCGATATCATCATCTAGTAACTGGTTTACTTGTAGCACTGGAATCCATGGTTCAGGTATTGCCTCTACATTGAGTGGCTTCACATTGAGTTCTGATAAACGCGTAATGACTTGTTTTGATAAACACATGACGTCACTGTTGCTCGCTTTAGTTACCAGATCTTCTGCAAATGCAATGGCGCTTCTCAGTGAGGCCATATGCAGAGTACCATTATCTTCACATTCTGCTAGCTCTTTCATCTCACGTGACGTCACATTCTTTGCCTCTTGTAAAAGTGTTGTGCGCCGCCTTTCCAAAGTCTCGATCTTCTCATTGATGAACTCATGGATTTTAGCCTCTGTATCACTTTCCTTTGTCTTTAGTTTATTTCGCATACATATTACCTCAGCTATATAAACTTCACTCTTTTCAATCATTCCGTTTGTTTTTAGAATCACTCCTCTTATTTCTTCTTTACGTTCCTCAACGATGTCATCAACGAAGCTAAAGTCGTGTTCTTTGTGGTCGATGATGATACAATCACGACAAATCAGCCTTTCGCACGTCTTACAGAAGAGTTTCTTTACCTCTCCTTTGTGCTTTTCGCATAATGGTGGTTTGTTTCTGATGGGAATACCTTTTGCCTTTATCTCTTTTAGTGACACAAGTTGGTGCTCTTTTAATATTGACATGCGCTCATGTGCTGTAACGCAAAAATCACAACAAAACTTTTCACAATCCATACATCTAGCCTCGGCTGATAGCTTGCTTTCACAGTTGTCACACATGATACCAGATTTGCTATCAGTTTGCTTTGTATCAGTCTTCCTCAATTCAAGGATTGTTAGGTTTTTGTTGACCCAAATGTTGACTTTAAGAGTATCTACATCGTCAATCTACAGCAATTCAATAATATAAGACAGTGTGGACACAAATATACATTAAAGAATAAAAGAAAAGAAAAAGTCTCGGAAAAAAGTCAGTACTGAAGATCTACAAAAAAGGATTAAACACCTATGAACACTTATAAAGATCGTTGAAAAATCAGGACCGATGATGCACTGGAACTTGGAATTTTGGGCAAAAACGTAATCAAGTACAAACTCGACGCTCTAAGAGCGCTCATTCGGACTCGATCACATTCCATGATAAACATGACATCTTACAATTTAAGTTCGCTTTCCCAGGTTTGAATGACAATGAGTCAAAATAAGAGAAGCTACATCCCATTTTTCCACGGTCACGTGATACGTAGCATAACAATCTGTTATTGACAGGACAGGTTGACAAAGTTGGCCAGAATTTGTTTGACCAGTCTTTGCTCACAAAATAGGTCATATAAAGCAAAATCAAATTAATACTCCAGTTTCGAGATCTTATTTGTGCAGGTCTTAACCTCAAAAGCATGTATTATATTCTTTTATTCAGCAGAGAATCTATTGCAATGCAAACACTCTGTGCACAAAGAAAACAATGAAAAATTTATGCTTGATTGAATCTAAGCTCTGCCCAATATACTTAGTATTGTAGTCTGTGGGCAAGTCATAAATCATATTGATAGAAGTTACCTTTACAACCTCCCTGCACTCTGGACACTTGATTGAAAACTGTCTTGGTCCTTTCTTCAGCAAATATTCAAGGCAATGTTTACAGTATGTATGGAGACAGGGAAGAATGCGAGGGTCCTGATACTGCTCCAAACAAATTGGACATATGACTTGATCCTCAAGACTTAAGGACATCTTTGCTGCCATATTGTAATTGTATCTTCAATGGAAAACATAAAACAATTTGGAATTATGTGACATAAATAAAGGAAAATTCCATGCAAAATTATGTTTCATCAAAAGGAAGTTGGGATACCTGTGCCCTATATTATCAACAGGCACTAGTAACTGGAGAGGACTTCTATATGTGATATTTAAAAAACGAGTAGGAGTGTTTTATCGTGAGATATAAACACGAACTACGAGTTTTTTAAATGACTTCTAAAACCCAAACCTAAGAAACTACAATATTTTAGTTTAACATAAAATATATAATATATAATAACCTAATATCAAAGGGCGGGGGTCCTTGGCGGAGATTGTGAAAATGACCCCTAAAAGGGACCTCTATTGTGAGATGATGGGCGTGGYARTGCTGAAATTTCAACCCTAAAAGGGACCAATCAATAACAGGTCATTTTGTTTTGGCTTACCGATTTTATTTTTGTTTTTACACAATCATCGAACACAAACATCGGCTCGTATTGAGTTTATGACGACGTTGCCATTTTATGACTGCTTAGGGTCGCCGTATACCCTAAAAGGGACCATAAAACTCAGTTGGTAGGAATTCTTGTCATGAACACCCTAAGCGGGACCAAAATACTGATTTCAAACCCTAAAAGGGACGCCGAGGACCCCCGCCCTTTGATATTAGGGAGTCACCCCCCCGGG